TTATGCAAACAAGGACTTCCGAAGACAAGGTCGCATGCACCCTCCCATATAGCGTTCTTGTCTTCCTCCAAAACCATCGCTCTGTAGTGATGTTTCGTTTGATGCCGGAACTCCCCGGCATGCGTCAAAATCACTAAGCAGTGTTCTTCAAAGTAGTTGCCGCATTCATGTGATAGTCAGAACTAGGAAACTCAGAAATGTCCGACTTGCTAACTGGTTGTAGTTATACACGTGCTGCGTTCAACCAGTTAGCAAGTCAGAAATGTCATTGTTTCCTACTTCCGACTAGCACATGAATGCGGAAATAGTACCAATGCCTGTATCACTTTATCAGAAGCACGTGATCAATGACGTCCGAAGCTTAGTTTCGTCGAACAACCACCTGATTGGTTTGGTAGAAGACAAAAAGGCTACGCCGCGCACGCGCTACGGGTTGTGGGACGTCATCTATAATAATCTGGCTGCTCTAAATTATTTTGACCAGCAGGTGCCACTAGTATACACTGTGTTGAACCTATTTTCGACACAATTGGCTGGAAAACCTCATTGCTTAATGAAACTTTGTTTCCCCATCCCTACCGCTCTGAGACCCAGGGCTGTCGCCTCGCGGATTTGGTCATCCGTCCACCAAAGCCTTTAGCGGGGACACGACTGTCAGAATTGGAGGCTGTTTTCCTAGCTTCTTGAAGATTAGAACTAGCTAACTGGTCAATTAGACTTTTCCCCAAGGCCTGCTAGCACAAAAGGCTTGAAATGCTTCAAGTTGCTCCTATTTAAATTAAATCCCTAAGTTGGTCATTACTATGTGGCAGTGTTGTGTCTCCTTTTCAGAAAGCTCCATCACTGAGTTTTTCTCCCCACAGTTTTAGTTAGCTAGGCTAGCCTAACTTTAGCTTGGCTTGTTTACCTCTCTCTAGTGGGGTGTAGCAAATTTAAGAGGAAGCATGCCCATGCAAATAGCGTGCATATGAGAACCAATCAAAAAGTCACTCAGAATTCACTCCATTCATTAAAACCACAATTTAACCAACACCCATCTATTTTTTGACGACCTGAACCTTCCATTTGGTTTTGAAGTATTGAAACCAAACCATATGGATTTGAATTTAAAGTATTTGAATAAACATGAAAAGGTGAATGTAAGAAGTGCACATAATTTCAGATAGGCTACATGTCATATTAAACAGCATATAAACACTCTAAAAAGGCCATGAGCCAGACAGGGAGCCTAAGGAGCAAAAATGAATTATTTAGGCTATATTATTTCAAGGCTATAGCCTACATAGAAATACATTTTGAAGCATTTGCGAGTGCGACACAATAGTCTGGTAGGGACATAAAGGGCTCAGCATTTAAACAACATTTAGTTGTATTAAATCATTATAGTCTATACATTGCAAATATAAGCTGTGACTAACTTAGAATGAAATACAAATGAATCGAAAAATGACTTATCAGTGCCTTTGAATTTATTTTTAGAAACACAAGTTTGGCCAGTCTGTGGCTTCAGGCATATGCCGATGGTGCCTGGAGAGCAGGCCAGCAGTGGAGAATATCCTCTCCACACTTGCAGAGCCACTGGGGATGCTAAACACCCTTTTGGCCACTCTATGCAGAGATGCAGAGTTGTTTTAACCTTTAGGCCTACCTATAGAAAAATGTAATTAGGCAAAATAACCCAATCAAAACGGAAAACTCCTTGAACGTGGGAATATGCCAGGTGTATTGGGCCAAAACCAATTATGGCCTATTGTATAGATAATAAAACAAAAAAGAACTAAACGTTTAAGAGATCAGATTTTTTTGCTACAACGACACACTTAGTTATCTCCCCACCTAGTTCCTTTATTTTATCATATGCACATAGTAATAAGTACACCATCATGCTTTCGGGATACATGTCTTTTCAGATTCCACAATTATTATTTAGTTATGGACACTACATCACCGCACTTCCTCTTTTGCTTCCCTTAATGAAAATGAAAACATTTAGCGCACAAGTAAACTACAAATGCATGCTGGGCCGGGCATGCCCTGAGCTCGTGAAGTGAGCGCTACTGGAGCAAAATCGGAGTGGGCTAGAAGGCCGACGCTCCAGCCTTTGGGAATCTCTCTCCGCGCTCCAGTGAAATTGGGCATGCTCCGCTCTGCTCACATACCCTGGCTGGGGAACGCTGTCAGCATGGCCACTGCCCTTTAAATACATGACACATTGCTTCAAGCCACACTTCGCCCCACCCACCAAACAGGAGCAAACGTACTTCAAAGTCTATTCAAGAACGTACAATAATCTTTTTGGGAAGCGTTTCGTTCAGTACAAACCATTCCGCAATGTAGCAAACGTTCAAGCGAACTGAGCGCACCTCAGACGAGTAGAGTCACAGCCAATGCTGTATATATAAATCATTGGTCACAGCTCGCGGTGTAGTCACATGGCTTGCGCATCAGCCAGATCAGGATGGTCGTACGAGGCTAGATGTGCGAATGCATGGTCTAAAGTTTGCGGGGAGCTGAATTTTTTATTTCTTTTTTTTTTATAAATGCCAACTTTTACGTGAACTGGCGCACAAACATTTTGGGGTATATGTTGTAAGTATGCACGGTTTATAAATTAGGCCCCTGGGGTGTAATCATTACTCCAAACTAAAACAAATTTATATTGGACAAATTCAGGTAGGTCCCTTCCCGTTTAATTCCGTTTGTTTCTGGTCAAATAAACATTTTGCCACAGAATCAGCGTAATGAATACACTCGTTGTTAATGTGCCAAGTGATTATGATACCAGAACCTGGTACCTGGTATTTTATTAGGATCCCCATTAGCTGTTGCAAAAGTACAGCTACTCTTCCTGGGGTCCACACAAAACATTAAATAATAGAGAACATTAATAGACAAGAACAGCTCAAGGACAGAACTACATCACATTTTTGTTTTAAAGGCACACGTAACCTACATATCAATACATACACACAAACTATCTAGGTCAAACGGGAGAGGCGTTGTACTGTGAGGTGTTGCTTTATCTGTTTTTCGGTCTAGATTCTCTTCTCCCGCCCACAATGAAATATCGACCAATCAGGAGCATTGGAAACTGTAAGGCTTATGAGTGTAAAAATCCTTATTCAAGTATAAGAATATAGAAGTAATAGGCCTATATTTCATTCAAACGCTTCACCTTAAATGGCAAAATAATAGATATGCCATTCGAAATAACTTTATAGACTACATTTTCATTTGATAAAAATATATAGATTATATAACTCAATCACGATTTACTTGATTTAGTTACACAATTCAAGGGATATTTTACCCCTAATCTTGATAAGAAATGACCATATCAGACGATTTTCTTTTAAAGACACTTGTATTTAATGGATTACATAACTTGGAAACAAATAAAATAATAAGAGTTGGCTACACCATAAACAGTTTTCCATTCATACGTGTCGGGTAAATTGCCACAGTAGATTTGCCATGGTGAACAAGGGAATACTTGTACAGAACGATGTTGGTTGCAATTTAGATCAATTGTGCAGGTGATTTGAGCGCATATTGATGGTTTAACGAGAGATTAGCTGGCGATAATCTGGTGGCTTTCAATAGTTGCAATTGGCCCTGTAGCTCCTTGGACACCAGAGGCTCATCCCAGCCTACAAAAAAGTTAATTCACCTTCAATAAAATACTAAAAGAACACCCAATGCTTATGTTTAAATGTTAAATGTGTTTGTTACCCGTCAGGTATTTTAACTCTCTATTTGTTAATGTTTGTAATGTCTTCAATGTAAAATGTAAGCGTTTTATTTATGTGTTGGACCCCAACAAGATTAGCTGGCGTCAACTAATAGGGATCCTAATAACTTCAAATTCCAGCCTACAATATTACTGATAGAATATCATTTAACTGCATTGATTTGAATAAATAGTTGCATCTTTTAAGTTTCCTCAGTCATTTACAGTAGACATAATTGAACCAATTTCTTATTTAGGGTCTTAATGTGCTCTAGCATTTCAGTGTGGCAGGTTTTTTCAAGCCACTTCATTTTTTATTTGCATTGAAGCTCAGGCTTTAGTAGTCAATGTCAAGTTTTATTTATGAAAGGTTTGGAGTGTTTGTAAGACATAATTCTTACTGTGGCTCCAAGATGTCGCCCCTGCATGGCCACCTGAAACAAGAGCCTGCAGCTCCTCTCTGGGGGTCCCTGCCAAGAACTTGGACTACTTCTCCCATGTGTTGCCACGCAGCTCAGGCTCTTGTAGTACATTTTGTGTCCAATTTTGTAAGACATAATTCAGACATCATTTTGGAGTGAATGAGGTCCAATTAACTAACACATTGTCTCTCTCACCCTGTTGAAATGAAAAGTCTGATCAAATTGCTGGTCTGATCAAATTCCTGGCTATTCCATTGAGTTCTTAGAAAAAATGACCTAAATGTAAACATACACATATACTGGTTGGGTGAAATGTGGTGCTTCTATCACAAAGGGCACAATTCTATGCTCTAACTACTCCATTAATGCAGCATAAACAATATGCTTTAAACTTCAGCATATTAATCCTACAATAAACTAAGGTATAATAGTGGTAAAAAATAAAGTGTGACAAAGGCAAACATCTGTTTTCAACAAAAATGTTTTATTGAGTGAAATGGAAACTCCATACAATGAACCTCTTTAGCCGTGGAAAACAATCACACTTGGCATTACACGTTTGCTTTGCATATACCAACAAATCCCACCTGCAGTTTTTGCAATAGAGCTTTGGCAACTTCATTTGTCAACCAGAAATAAGGACAATCATCAAAAATTTAAGGAAAACAAATAACTCAAAAGTAATAAGAAAAATTAAATGCGTCTTTCAGCTCTGGTACTGGAGTTGAACAGAAGAGAATGGAGAAACTGCATAAATAAACAGTTAAACCTTATATTTAAATTACTTCATGCCTAACCATTCCTTAAGCCACACCCCCAAACATTTATATTTTTATTCAATTACTTATTTAAGTATACATCATCTCGGCCATATGTGACATTTTCTTGGGGATATAAAGATAATACTCCATGTAACCAGAAAGGTCCTCTATTGTGATGTCATCAACGTAGGCCCGGGCCTGTTCGGAACAGGAACGCGGGGAGCTTGATGCTGATGTGGTGGACCCGTCGGTCTGAGTTCTCTGGTGCGGGGAGGTCTGGGACGTGTCCTCGGGGCTCGCCAGGTTCCTCTCGCACTCCGAGAGGATGTTACGGAGGCCCGTGAAGGAGTAGACCTCTACGCCCTGCCAGCCCGGGCACTGACATTGGCACTGACACTTGCACGGGCCCCCGCCCTTGTGGAGCTTTGACAGGGACCTGAAGTCAGAGGGCACAGCTCCAGTTTTGGCTTCAGCCCTTACGCAGGGAGCTGCCTCTGGGACACCCTTGTCTTCAGACAGGGGCCGTCTGGGGCTGCCCTCCAGCCTGGCTGTGGGGCCTTCCCCAGAGGCAGCAGGGGTGTGGGGCTCATAGCCAGCACCGCCAAACACAGGGGAGGAGTGGCCCGAGGAGAGTAGTTCCTTCTTGGCGGGGATCCCCAGGGAGGAGCTGCAACCCTCGGCCTCTGGCAGGCTCTTGTGTTTCAGGTGGCCAGGCAAGGGCGACATCTTGGAACCACAGTAGGTGAACTTTGGAGGGTGGAGGATGGGAGACTTGGATCTCCGGCGTCTTTGACTTCTCACGGCTCCTCTTGACGTCTTCCTCATACAACTACTACATAGAAAAACAAAAATGTCAAAACCAAACATAACTATGATGGTAAAATAAATAAAAAGGTCCTGAACAGTCATTCTGATTCCAATGCCTTTTGAGTGACTAAAATATCACCCAATATTTATGGGGGATAGAAATGCTGAACATTTGAGACAAAGTACTCTTTAACTCGCTAACTACCAGGAAGTTTGTAAAGACAGGCTGAGTGGGCGGGGAGCTTATACTCATGAGCTCGCCTTGACTGACAGCTATTTGAAACTTGGATGCAGTGAGCAGTGTTGCAATAAAATCATCTCAAGCTAATTTTGTGATACACAAAGCAACTCAAACATTGAAATTGCATCAATGATGTCAAATTTTTTTATACACCTCCTGTTTTGGCATGTCTCTTGTGATGCGGTTCACAGCAGCACTGTTGGATGTGTTGACATGACAACTGCATCAGAACGACCCTTTCCTCCTTTTGTTCCATGCTGGCTGAAGACCTAGCTAGCCAGTAACTCGTTAACACCAGACACAAATGAAAAGGGGAAACATAAGTATCTAGATGAATAGTGTAAACGTTTAATTATATTTGCTGACACCCTACAGTAAAATTGTGGCACCAGTAGAGTAGCTATCTAGCTATATAAACCTCACCACTCTGCAAACACGCTTCGCTGACGTTGGTTACAAGGCAGTACTTATATAAATTAGATAAGAGAATATCATGTTACCATTGGTATATTAATAATTCCGCCTCGTGAATCCAAGTGTTTGACATGGGGAGGGGAACAGTAACTTTACGATCAAGCTTTATCAATGTAGAAGCAACAGTGATTTTTCAAGATAGTTTGATCTGGTTTCATCCAAATATCATAACTTTTCATGAAAAACATGATTTTGACTGTTGATGACCTTTGAGTCTTTAATGGTATAATAATAATAATAATTTTATAATAAATAAATAAATAAATAAATATATATATATATACACACAGTGAGGAAAAAAGTATTTGATCCCCTGCTGATTTTGTACATTTGCCCACTGACAAAGACATGATCAGTCTATAATTTTAATGGTAGGTTTATTTGAATAGTGAGAGACAGAATAACAACAACAAAAATCCAGAAAAACGCATGTTATTAATTGATTTGCATTTTAATGAGGGAAATAAGTATTTGACCCCTCTGCAAAACATGACCCCTCTGCACTCCATGGCCCCGTCCATCGTCCCTTTGATGCGGTGAAGTTGTCCTGTCCCCTTAGCAGAGGGGTCATGTCTTTGGAGGGAGTTGAAAGTTTGTGTTGCCCAGCGACAGCCCCAAAACATCACTGCTCTAGAGGAGATATGCATGGAGGAATGGGCCAAAATACCAGCAACAGTGTGTGAAAACCTTGTGAAGACTTACAGAAAACGTTTGACCTGTGTCATTGCCAACAAAGGGTATATAACAAAGTATTGAGAAACGTTTGTTATTGACCAAATACTTATTTTCCACCATAATTTGCAAATAAATTCATAAAAAATCCTACAATGTGATTTTCTGGATTTTTTCCTTCTCAATTTGTCTGTCATTGTTGACGTGTACCTATGATGAAAATTACAAGCCTCTCTCATCTTTTTAAGTGGGAGAACTTGCACAATTGGTGGCTGACTAAATACTTTTTTTCCCCACTGTACATAGGTGTACAGAGGCCCATTATCAGCAACCATCAGTCATGTGTTCCAATGGCACATTGTGTTTGCTAATCCAAGTTTATCATTTTAAAAGGCTAACTGATCATTAGAAAACCCTTTTTGCAATTATGTTAGCACAGCTGAAAACTGTTGTGCTGATTGAAGCAGCAATGAAACGGGCCTTTGAGGCTAGTTGAGTATCTGGAGCATCAGCAATTGTGGGTTTGATTACAGCCTCAAAATGGCCAGACACAAATAACTTTCTTCTGAAACTCATCAGTCTATTCTTGTTCTGAGAAATGAAGGCTATTCCATACCAGAAATTGCCAAGAAAACTGAAGATCTCGTACAACGCTGTGTACTACTTCCTTCACAGAACAGCGCAAACTGGCTCTAACCAGAATAGAAAGAGGAGTGGGAGGCCCCTGTGCACAACTGAGCAAGAGGACAAATACATTAGTGTCTAGTTTGAGAAACGGACGCCTCACAGGTCCTCAACTGCCCATCTTAATCTTTTCTTTTTATTGGCCAGTCTGAGATATGGCTTTTTCTTTGCAACTCTGCCTAGAAGGTCAGCATCCCAGGTCGCCTCTTCACTGTGGACGTTGAGACTGGTGTTTTGCGGGTACTATTTAATGAAGCTGCCAGTTGAGGACCTGTGAGGCGTCTGTTTCTCAAACTAGACACCAATGTATTTGTCCTCTTGCTCAGTTGTGCACCGGTGTTCTTCAAATAGCCACCCTTCACCTTGATGACAGCTTTGCACACTCTTGGCATTCTCTCAACCAGCTTCATAAGGAATGCTTTTCCAACAGTCTTGAAGGAGTTCCCATGTATGCTGAGCACTTGTTGGCTGCTTTTCCTTCACTCTGCCGTCCAACTCATCCCAAACCATCTCAATTGGGTTGAGGTTGGGAGATTGTGGAGACCAGGTCAAATAGCCCTTACACAGCCTGGAGGTGTGTTTTGGGTCATTGTCCTGTTGAAAAACAAATGATAGCCTCACTAAGCGCAAAACCAGATTGGATGGCATATCACTACAAAATGCTGTGGTAGCCATGCTGATTAAGTGTGCCTTGAATTCTAAATAAATCACTGACAGTGTCACCAGCAAAGCACCCACACACCATCACACCTTCTCCTCCATGCTTCACGGTGGGAACCACACATGCGGAGATCATCCGTTCACCTACTCTGCGCCTCACAAAGACATGGCAGTTGGAACCAAAAATCTCAAACTTGGACTCATCAGACCAAAGGACAGATTTCCACCGGTCTAATGTCAATATTTCGTGTTTCTTGGCCCAAGCAAGTCTCTTCTTCTTATTGGTGTCCTTCAGTAGTGGTTTCTTTGCAGCAATTCGACCATGAAGGCCTGATTCACGCAGTCTCCTCTGAACAGTTTGTTTTGTCTTTATTTTTTACTATTTTCTACATGGTAAAATAATATTGAAGACATCAAAACTATGAAATAACACATATGGAATCATGTAGTAACCAAAAAAGTGTTAAACAAATCAAAATGTATTTTAGATTCTTCAAAGTAGTCACCCTTTAACTTGATGACAGCTTTGCAAACTCTTGGCATTCTCTCAACCAGCTTAATGAGGTACTCACCTGGAATGCATTTCAATTAACAGGTGTTTCTATTTTTACGCGAGGTCCTCTTAAGGAACTTTAGCTAAGTGTACCCCAACTGGGAAAAATTGGCAAAGATTGTGTTCATTTCCAGTGTGCCCGCCGAGAGGGGATTCTTTCTACAAAACAGAGTAAAGACGGCCTCAAGATCGCACCTTCTTGAGGACAAAGTAACGAGGCTGATGCGCATCGCAAGCTGCTCTAAAGAGTGTGAAAGTTTTGACTTCCCAACAGCAGTGGCTCACTTTGAGCAGGCCAAGGTCCACCGCAAACGCAAGTAAATTAGAGGCAATTTATTGTGTTCATCAGGCCCGGTCCTAGCAGTTCTGCTGCCGCCCTAGGCAAGACCAACATATGATTTGGAATGGATTGATACACTAGAGTAGAGTAGAGAGAGTAATGATATGTATCATGTGCAATTGGTGACTTCCAGTTCAGCAGAACTTGGAAACGAAACATCGATGCCAACTATTCACATCGGGAGAGTTACAATGTTGCAATCACTAGGCAGCCAACTGCCTATAGAAGGAAACAGAGTTGTTATCAATTGAGCCCCACAGTGGACACCCATAAACACCCATAAAACCTAGCAGTCAAACACAAAAATGTTTCCAATTGTTTTTCCACCATTCATTTTATCCATTGTGGATTTTAAAAACACTTCAAATAAGGACTGTGTTTCATATAGGCTTACTCTGGAATTACGTTTTGTTAACCGTGTAAATCTCTATCGAACAAGGTGACTTTTATCAATATATTTCGCTCTATTTACTCTCAGATTAGAAAATGCTAATTAGCATCAAAGTAGACATCATGCAAGACTACAAATCCCTGCAGGCTTGTACACGTCATCTCTAGCTGACACCTTTGCAGCTAGCTACTAGCTGGTGCAACGTCGGCTATTCTCGGAGGCAATTTTTTGACATCGAAGTAAATGAATGTGGCAAAAAAAAAAAAGTATGCTCTTTACTGCCCACTGCATAGCTGATTGTTTAGCTGAAGATGTCCTAAAACACTGTGCCAAGTGACAATTTCCTCTGTTGTGGTATTTTCTTACTGTATAAAAACATGACGCGTGGTCCGCTGCTGGACACACGCGAACGGTTATCTAACCTCGGACGCTTGCAGCGGTCTCTAGTTTTCTTTCTGTTTTATTAATGAAACGTGTTCCTGGTTACAAGGGCGAATTGCACTGACCTACTGAGGGTGTCAGCTTCTCATATCCGGTAAATATTGTCATCTTCTGGTCATTTTTAAAGGTAAAATGTCTACTGCCCCATGAATGGCATTTAAACAAGAGGGAATCAATCAAATCAAATGGAAATCATTTGTAACACATCAAAGTAATGGTTTAATGTGTGAACAACATTTATTGATCTTGAATCAAATCACAATGTCTGCATATGATTCCAAATCCGTCAGCTGATAAACTAATTTTCTAATTCCGCTAAGGATCTCCGTCTACCAAGAGCACGGCGCTTGTAACGCCAGGGTAGTGGGTTAGATCCCCGGGACCACCCATACACAAAAATTTATGCCCGCATGACTGTAAGTCGCTTTGGATAAAAGCGTCTGCTAAATGGCATATTATATTATAAAACGAATTTCTTCATTTGATCCTCATTGGCTTTCGTAGGTATGGGTGTCATCGCAACTAAATCAACAAACGCTAGCATCCACGACCTAAACGGAGA